TTTTACTTTTTTCGCCCGCGAATTAAAATTGCCAAAATGTTTACCATGGTCTCTAATACCATCCCGGAGTTCAATTGAGTGGGTAGAACCATCCAATTTGCCTTTAAACGACCAATTTATTGGTTCACAACTTGCACCAATTTCATCAACTCAAACATATTACGAACATTTATGACAACATATAATGATCTTATATGGTTTCAAACGGCATTATATGACCCAAAGATATATCCCCTAGAATTTTAAGATTTTTCGACACCGGACCTTGAATCCTCCAAAATTTCTCAAAAAGCGTGGATATTAGCCTTCAATTTTGAAAATTTTGACTTTTTTTCGTCCAAAAATAAAAATTGACGAAATGTTTCCCATGATCCCTAATACCATCTGGGAATCCAATTGGGTTGGTGGAACCATCCAATTTGTCTTTAAACGTTCAACTTACCGGTTTACAACTTCCACCAATTAACTCAAGATTACCACAAACATTTATGACACAACAAATAATGATAATATATAAATGGTTCCAAATGTCATTATATGACCCCGCGATGTATCCCCTAGAATTTCAAGACTTTTTGACACCGGGCCTTGAATCCTCCAAAATTTCTCAAAAAGCGTGGATATTAGCCTTCAATTTTGAAAATTTTGACTTTTTTTCGACCGGAATTAAAAATTGTCAAAATGTTTCCCATGATCCCTAATACTGTATGGAAGTCCCATTAGGTGGGTGGAACCATCCAATTTGCCATTAAACGATCAATTTACCAGTTTACAACTTGCACCGATTTTATTAACTCAAGCCTACCACGAACATGTATGACAACAAATAATGATCATAAATAGTTCCAGACGGCATTATATGACCCCGAGATACATTCCTTAGAATTTCAAGACTTTTCGACACCGGGCTCTGAATCCTCCAAAATTTCTCAAAAAGAGTGGATATTAAAGCCTTCAATTTTGGAATATTTTGACGTTTTTTTGTCCTAAGATAAAAATTGGCGAAATGTTTACCATGGTCCCTAATACCCTACGGGAGTCCAATTGGGTGTGTGGAACCATCAAATTTCCGACCCGTTCCTAACCTGACCCGAATTTAACTCAAACTGTTACAAACCCGACCCGAAATCAACCCGACTTGTTATTGAATTGAACCAAATTCAACCCAACTTGTTATTGACCTGACACAAATTTTACCACTTCTGTTACTTACCCGACCCAAAAATTCAACCAGATATGTTATTAACTCGACTCGAAATTAAAACAAATTGTTATTGACCCGACCTAAATTCAATCCAAATTGTTCCTGACCTAATTTCAAATCACCTTAAATGCAATTTAGACCACCTTATTATTGTTTATCAAAGCATTTTGTATTTTTGTCTAGGGAGACCAAGTCGGTCTAGGCAAGCAAAAGAAAGGAGCATCATTAGCTTGATAATTAGCTTGATAAAAATGATAATTATATATTTATAGTTAGTTGAACCCGAATATGACCTGACTTGTAAATGACCCGACCTGATTGTAACCTGCAAATTATTGACTTGAACATAGCCCGACTTGAATCCGAGAATGACCCGACTTGAAAATGACCTAACCTGATTATAGCCCGCACATTATTAACTTGAACCGAACCCGATTTAAACCCGAGAATGATCCGACCTGATTATAATCCGCAAATTATTGACTTGAACCGAATCCAACTCAAACCCGAGAATGACCCAACCTGATTCTAACCCCCAAATTATTGACCTGAACCGAACCCGACTCGAACCCGAGAATTACCCTAACACGTTTAAACCCGTGAAAACCCGGATTAAACCCGACCTATTGTTCACCTGACCTGAATGTAACCCGACCTAAACCCGATAAAAAGTATGACACGACTTAAGCATGACCTAATCTAAACCCGATCCGCATAGGTTATGGAATTATTATGAATTGACCCGACCTAAAGCAATCCGTTTACTCGAATTGACAGTTTGCAATCATGTACCTTGAAAAAAGTATTTTTCTTTATTTTTTATTTTATTTTTTTTTTCAAACTAATTAGAGCCTTAGAGCACTCACATCAGTGAGCAAAAAAAAATTGTTCTTTCTCTCTCTAGCCACTTTCTCTCTCTCCACACCCATGAGCATTTTTGGTGAGCAAATTTTATCCCACTAGTAATAAAAAAAATGCTCATCATTCTATCTCCTACTTTTTCACATACCCCACCAACATTTCTCTCTTACACATCACCATATTATTATTAATTATGTTTTGGTTAATGACATTTTAGTGCTACTAAATTACAATTATACAATTATTAATTAATAATTACAATTTTTGTGAATTTTGAAACTATACCAAAATATGTCAAAATGGATCTCTATTTGTAGAGGAAAAAAAATTACAACCGTTAATAAATATTTTTTTTTTTAATTACAAGTCGGCCAAAATAGCCGTTTAGAGTTAATACCTTTTTAAAACGGTAACAAAAATCTGATTGGATGAAGAGGGCTGACAGGGACGCGTGTCAGCTCCCCAATGGCTGGAATGACGCGCCCTGTCAGCGGTTGTCCTTAAATTTTTTTGCTTCTTAGCCATCCAAAACGTTGTGTTTTGGTGTTGAGGTGTTGTGGGTGTTTCCCAAAACTCGTCATTTTGGGGTGGCAGAAGCAAAAAAAAAATGGCGCCACTTTGGAGGAGTTGTGGGGCCCACTTTTACTGTTCACCTTTAATTTTGCTCATCCTATGAGCAAATTCTAAAATGCTACTTTGCTCATTGATGTAGTAACTTTTTACCTATTTTTGCTCATCAATTTTGCTCATGAGCAAAATAATGCACATTGATGTGAGGGCTCTTAGTGCAAATGTATTTTTAGGAGATTCTTAGCACGGTGTTCCAAGGTTTTTAACTAGTATCTAAGGGTTAAGGGAGCGCTTAATTGGAATTGACTGGGTTTCGAGGTTTTACAGCAAACTAGTTTTTAAATTGCGTCGCTCATTAGAGGTCCATATGGTTTAGAAATGCAATGATTTTAATTAGACCCTTCCCTTTTGGTTAATTGCCGTATAATATTGCTTTATTTAATTTAAAAAGTTACCGAATTGCTGAGATTAATAAATTGCTTACAATCAACAAGCATGAACCATTTAGGTGGTAAATTAGGTTATAAACTGTCAGGAGCTATAAATATGATTGTTTGATATCCCTTCACATTTTTGGTCTTTATGCTCAGGATACACATTTGCATATTGTAAATCAACCAACGTAACTTACATTTAAACCAATTTTCCTCCTAAATAACGCAATTACAAGAGCACTGATTAATTTTTTGGAGTACTTGCATCTATTTTTCAAGTTTATGCAACTAAAACTCTGCCAAACAATCTATTTTGTCATGAACCAATCGAGCCAATGCCATGTTTTAGGAATTGTTGTTGCAGAAAAATTGCCCCTTGCTTTCATTCACTGAAAAGAAGGCCTAATGAATATAAATGAGAACAGTCTAAAGAATAATCTAGTACTTGTATATTTCCATAAACAACAAAAATAGGAAAATGCAATAAACTACAACCCAAATTCATCCATGCAAATTAGGGGTCTTTGGAGTCCGGACTTCTGTTTAGCAATAAACAGATAATAATTGAGACACGAAGTATTAGTATACCACTGAACATATATGATCCTGTATACAATACTATATGGTCCTGTCCTGTGGAATGAATACCCGGGTACATCAACAGGGACCAGACATTTACTTGAAGATCATAATTTTGGGAGCACAAGCACACCATGCTTTCTTGAAATTCATACTAGGTATTTAGAAACTTAAGGGACACAAAAAATGAATATCCAAAAGCTTTCTACGACAAAGTTCTCTCCTCCAGACTCCAAAATGGAAACAAGGACAGGACAATCCTCATCGAGTACGTAATTTTATACTGAAATCTTAATCTCCTCCCTCTAGCCAGATATTTTCTCGTACTTCAGCAGTTTCTCTACACAAGATTAACCTCATGGAAAACACATAATCATTAATAAATACCAAACCAGCAGTTTCTCTACACAAGATTAACCTCATGGAAAACACATAATCATTAATAAATACCAAACCACCAGCAAAGTGCAAGAAGACTCTTCATGGCACTTCCTTAATTCCATCAACTAATAGGTACTCCTTTGTACAATAACCTCTCAAAGGATTTTCCTCTAACTAAGAATACTTCAAATTTGCATATATACCCAATTAAACCTTTGCTATCAATAGCTTCTCAATCAATATAAACCTTGTGAGCATAATCACCTCGTACCCAAATTACTCGCAAAAGATTTACAAAAATTTTGTAATCGTCCTCAAAAAGACATCTGATATAAAGCCTTTCCAATATCACTTAACAATACTAATATAAGCTATACAACAAACTAATCTACCATCATAGCTCTCTTATACAATAAGGAGATCACTAGTAGTAGCAAACAATTCCACAAACACATTTAATCTACGAATATTTCACACTTAGTGATCACTAGTTGTAGCAAACAATTCCACAACACAACTAATCTACGAATACTTCACTGTCCTAAAGGATCAATGTAGTATATTAAATCAATCATCATTTTCCATTGTGAAAACGGACATTCAGCCAAATCACCCAAACAAAAACAGAATTGCAGACAAATTGAATCCATATCCCCCCTTTCAAATACTATCTCTAATAAAAAAAATTCATTGGTAACATGCATTGACAGAAAAATTGTGTAAAAAAAACACTTTACAGTTCAATTCAATGACTATGAACAAAACACAACAGACATCCCGAACAACAAAACCCTAATCCAATTTATTACCTCCAATCAAGTGAAGATAAACAATCATTGATATCAACTAAATTATAATTAGCATTATTCAAGCTATGATGAGATTTATATAGTATACGCTCGCTATTTAATTCAAATTCTAAATAAGTTATTGAAATTAGAAAAAAAAATCAATCATAGATCCAAGAACAATACGAAATTAAGCATATATATAAAAGGATAAAACTCGAAAATTATGTAAAATACTCCAGTAAAAATACCGAAAATATCATCATGTTTAACAAAACGTACCATACATAACCATAAACTGAGTACCTAAAACCAGTCAATAAGCTACAAAAATAGCTGAAAAATTGATGAAATAAGACGAAACAAACGACGGAAATCTAAAATCGAACTCAGCAGTTGATAACAACGTTCTACTTAGATCTCTGTCTCATCTTTCGGCGCTTCCTCTTCAACCTCCTCATACGCTTCTTCTTCCACTGCAAAATCGACGAAAAAATAATCAAAATCAATGGAAAAAAGCGTCGAAATTAATGGACATTAATAATAATTTGGAGTTGATGAATTGAATGAGGAGATTGAAAAATTACCTTGGCTCTCATGGTGATCAGACGAAAAAAAGCGGCGACTTCAAAACCCTAATCGATGGAAAATACTGAGGAAAGAGAAAGGGGAGGTTTTCAAGAGGAAAAGATAATATGGAGGTTTTATGATTATTTATAGTGAAACCCTAGTTTGGAGTGTTTGGGTTAGGCCTTGTTGGGTCGAGTTGGGCTGTCTAGTTGAACAAAGCCCAAAATACCTTTATACGAAATAGTTTATACAAATACAATTTCTAGTCAAGTGTGCTTGAGTGCCTTGGGATTTAGAAAGTTGGGATAGGGAAGGACCGAGGGCTAGATGTGATTACGAGTTTGGTCGTGTTATCGTGTTGTATATTGAACGAATAAATGTACATGTTGGGTGAGAAAAAAATTGAACCCAAGTCTAACTCGATGGGTCAAGTCGAGTCAAGTATTTAGTTGGAATGATAAAACTTGTATACTAGTCGGGTCAAGGTTACAATTTTTATTTTAAAATAACTAAATACTCACTTATGTGTGCATGTATGGAACCTTCAAGACGTTAGATACTTGCTTGAGTTTCAAACCATTTGGGATATGGAGAGTCAAGTAAGCCTTGTGCTAATTTCCCTTAAAGGATAGAAGACAATCTTTTAATTTATATTAGATTAGTCCTGTGCGATGCACACATTTATTTGATATATAGAATATATATTTTATGCATTCTTACCACGTATCTGAAAAGTTATAGAGACATAAACATCAATTGTAAATGCTAATTTTATAAAATTAATGTTGAAGAAGAACAAACCGAATATGAAAATTAGAGCATATACAAAAAAGTTAGATTTATACTATACAATTTTAATTAAGCAAATATGATTTTAAACTTGAAATATATTAAAATAAATATAGAATAAATAAATATATACATCAAAGTATTTTGTTCGATAAAGCATAAGGTAAGATGTATCAGAAATCAATAGTTGGTGACAGAAGAAAAATAAATAAATAAAAGAATATAGATAAATTGAGAAGACGAGAAATTAAATTTGAAATTTAGATCCAAAGAAAATATAATGACATCAAATTTTATTTAGGTGGGAAAAATTTTCTTATAAAGCTGCAACGTGGATGATATGATGTCAACGGTTTCTACTTTAGTAATATTTATAGATATGTATATTAGTATATATGCAATGTCTTTATTTAAAATGTTTATTTACGTATTTACCCTCATTATCATTATTACCTCTTCATTTTTAACTCTTAAGATTAATGTGGACATTGATACCCCTAAATATATATTTATATATTTTATTTCATTATGTTGCCAATTATTAAATTTGTGATGTAAGGTTGAACCGAAAGAGATTCTGGATATGACTAACTATGGCACGCACATCGCGCGCGTTAGGGAAAAGGAAGTGTAAATTTAAACTAATACTCCATATTCCGTACTTTTTAAAACAGTTTTACTCTCTAAACCCTTAAAGGGGCGTTTGGTTTACATAATTAAGGTATAAAGTATGTGTTTAGAATGGTTTAAACCCATACATTATGTTTTGTTTTATGATTTTAGGGGGCGTTTGGTTCGCGGATTATATGTATTAGGTATGGGTTTAGAATGACCAAAACTCATACCATATGTTTGGTTATCAAAAATATGATTTTTAAACCCATACCTCAAACCCATGAGGTATGGGGTTTAGAAACCTTGGGGGGAAGGTGGGTTTGGTTAATTCTATTCCCTTAGGTATCAAATATATGAAATTAAGGGGATGATATTCCATTCCAGAATTGAACCAAACACGTGGTATTAAGTATCAAGTTCCAACCCGATACCACCTTAACCCTATTTCAGTATTCCTGATTCCAAACCTATACCACCATGCGAACCAAACACCCCCTTAAGAGTTTTAAACCCATACCTTAAACCCTCAAGGTATGAGGTTTAGAAACCTTGGGTGGGAGGTCGGTTTGGCTCATTCCCATACTTTTAGGTATCAAATAAAAGAAAAATATTGAATTTCATAAGCATACCAAACATATGGTATTAAGAATCAATTTCCAAACTCATACCATTATGGTTTCATTCCTGATTCCAACCCCATATCAGTTTACGAACTAAATGCCCTGCGTTATTCCATAATTGGACGATCATATAAAGACTCCGTATTTATTATTATTATTATTAGACGGATCTATCCCTTAAATAACTGTGACGGCCCTGACGGGGGTCATAAGGGATCCATAGAATTGCTCTCTCTCAAAATAGTCAGATATCCATTGAAGCGCACTCAACGTTCTCCATTGAAGCGCAGTTGGCGTTCTCCGTTGAATCTAGTTCTTGATCCCCCATTGAAGCAGCTTCTGAGGTAAGTTGTTTGTATTTGTTATCATCATATCAAATATCCCTAAAATTATGAGATCGATAATTGAATCAAATATCCCTATAATAATTATGAATCAAATTGTATTGCACAACAATTTAATGTTAGGATTTAACTATGAAATCAGAGCTGTTTTCCCTCCTGCCCTGCCTCAGGCCAATAATCGAAACTTTTTAGGGTTTCTAATTGGCCTCCTTTTTGTTCTGTTAGGAGTTTCTCAGAATTTGTTTAGTATTCTCCTTTTGTTGTTGGAAACAAGATTTTGTTATCAGATTTATGTGTTTGTTAGCTACTGTAATAGTTAGCATGTGTGAATCAATGTATGTGAGTATTATCCGTTGTTGAAACATTGGATGATCAAATTGCGTGTTTGGATGAATTTGAATTTGTTTGCCATGCTTTTGATCTTTTGTGTTGTTTGGTTTCCCTTTATGCCATTGTTGCGATAGATGTCACTCCAAGAAAATTTAGCGAGGTTTCGGAAACAGCAAGAGAAGTGTCAGTCAACTCTTTCGAGTATTGCTTCTGAAAAACAAGCTTCAACCAAGTCCTCCAATTCATCAAAGCATAACTCTAGTGTACAAAAATCAACTTTGCCAACTGCATCACCATCTATAAATGCAAGGCCTCCTGTCAAATTCTCAAATGATACCGAGAGGCTTCAGATCATTAATAGCATAAGAAAGGCTCCTGCTGGAGCTCAAATTAAGCGTGTCATTGATCTGCTTCTAGAGGTACGCGCTGTGTTGTGTTGCACTTGTACATGTCAAAATTATACAATGAGTTATGGCTAATTGCCAAGAGAATTATGTTAATTAATAGATGACAGTGTTTTGTTAACATTGAATGTGCTTAAGCAAAGACCAGAACATAAGTGGTGGAATAATCTTGTATTACATGTTGGCTGGATATTCTGTATAATGTCTTTGGGTTGATTGCAGCGGAGGGAAGCCTTAACTCCTGAGCAAATCAATCAAGTATGCCATGTCGATGTTTATGCAAATAAGACTGTTTTTGAAAGTTTGAAGAATAACCCAAAAGTGAGCTATGATGGGCAGTGTTTCTCTTACAAGGTAGGCCTTAATGGTTTATTTTTATTTATCACCTCATTGGGTTTGATAGTGAAACCATTTATTCTCCTACCAATTAAATTGTTTGATTTCCTTTATCTTTACAGTCAAAGCATGAAGTTAAGAACAAGGACCAATTGCTTGTCTTGATACGGAGATATCCAGAAGGCATGCCAATCATTGATTTAAAGGATTCTTATATAAATGTGATGGAGGACTTGCAGGTATCTAAGTTTTCTTCTCAATCTTTTCTTCCTAGCCTATCTTGAGTATCATTGTAATAGCAGTTTCAACGTGCCAGTGGATTCTTATATATATATATATATATATATATATTCTCTATGTGATATACACATATAGAATGTTAACTAGAAAATTGGCAAAATTTTCTGATAGTTGTTTCATAGGAATTAAACCCCCTTATTCACATTTAATTGAGGTCAATTACCCTATATTATATATGATGCATGTAATGGTTTCCACATGATTTATGACAATGATTCCACCCAAAATTGGCACTTCTAATTTTTTAGTAGTTAGTTAGTTTCTAGTCTAATTATGTATATTTTTATTATTTCTCATTTATTGGTATTGGGCTTTATGCATGTGTTTCTACCATTGTAGTTTCTTTTCTTTTATAAGGAAAGGGAGTTAATAAAATTAAATAATGAAACGTGCTGCCAAGGAAATGTAAAGGAATGAAATTGTAACTCTGTGCTGGTATTGATTGAGGTAATGAATTAAGACACACTCCCTGCTCAACCTTTCCATCTCTATGATCTCCCACCAATTCAAAAAGTTCCTTAATATTGTGAGAAGAGTTAGGAATATGAGGAATCTTAGAATGATGTTCTTGATGCTGAGGAAGAGGACACTGGACAATGATTAGGAGAATGACGATGACTAATTGAGTATGATGATGATGGTGTGGAAAATGACGGGGAGACTTGTTTTTATGAGTAATTGGCCAGTTGATTGCTGATCATTGGATTTGTATGATGTTAACTCCACACAGCTAAGGACATGATTCAGGTGGTGGTGGTGGTTATGGTTTTCTACCTTTTTAGTGCTTTTACTTGCATGTTTTTCCTCTCTTAATCTCTCCTTAGCCATTTTTATAAAACTTTCATAAATTTCATATTTTATGTCCTCTTGTTGGGTTTTCTCTTAATATCTCCTTAGCCCTTTTTGTAAAACTTTGTTATGTTACCTTTTGAAGATTCATATAAGTTGACCCCAAATCATTTTGGGAACTTATAATTTTTTATTGAAAGGGTGAGTGATGTTCTTTGTCCTAAATAGTATTTGGACCAGTGTTTGAAAAAGCGGCACTGAGTCACAGGGCAATAGGGGGTAAGTGCTTTTTTTGGCCTGGGCGAGGCGTTTTCAATAAGGCGCACCTAAAGCAAATATCTGCCAATTTTTTTAAGTGTTTATATAGTGCGCCTCACTTCAAAGAGGCACACTTAGGCGCTGCATAACCCTTATCGCTTCAGCGCGCCTTGAGCTTTTTTATACATTGATTTGGACCCTTTCGCCTCAGCCTCCAATCTGATAAGGTGCTCGGTCCAAAGTTCATCCCTTGACCCAACAAACAAAAATGAGCCTTTGCATAATTCGATTCCTCATTACCCTGCTCTTGGAAATAACTTCTCTAGAGGCAGTGGGTAATTTAGTGTAGCTCATCCCTCTATCTGTAAGCCCAAGCTGTAGGAAGTTAGGAGCCCTATCACCTTTGGTAATCACATGCCTTTTGAAATACTGATTGGTAGAAAGTTGGCAAGGACTAATTTGCCTCAGTGAATAAGTTAGGGGGCAATTGGGTACCTGTATACGTTAATGAGGTTATCTTGCACTTGAATCAACTTAAGGGGGCAATGTATCACTTTCCTGTTATGTTTACTGGTCGTATCTCATGTGTCATGTCAACCAAAATTAGCATTCTGGTAGTTTTGTTTTGAATCATTTTCCTTTATATTTGAAAGCATCATCCTAAGTTCCTGTTGTCGAAAGCATCATCCTGAGTTCCTGTTGTTGAAGCATCTTTCTCCATGAATGCAAAATATGATTCCATTTGTTGAAGCTGAGTTCATGGTGGATTTTAGTCAATAGTGATTCTTAGCTTAAAGGATTGCTAAGGATGGATCATATATTTTAGTTTAAAAAGCAGAATTCCAACGTTGTTTTACTGTTAGTCTGTCATTGATTTCAAAATTTTGAACCTTATTTTACTGCTGTAAAAACTTGCTGATAGTGTATTTTCTCCATAGGCCTTGAAGGCCGATCGAAAAGTTTGGTTGCTCTCAAACTTTGATTCCCAGGAAGATATAGTATATCCAAATGATCCCCGAGTTCCTATTAAGGTAGATGATGATCTGAAACAACTCTTCCGGAGCATTGAATTGCCACGCGATTTTCTTGATGTTGAGAAAGAACTTCAGAAAACTGGAATCAAGCCTCTTACAAACACTGCCCAGAGAAGGGCTGCAGCACAGATTCAAGGCGTTTCCTCCAAAGGTAAACCTAAGAAGAAGAAGCACGAAATTAGCAAAAGGACCAAGCTCACGAATGCTCATCTTCCAGAGTTGTTTCAGAACCTCGCAACACAGTAACATTATTTGTTGATTGTTGGTGAGGTCACCAATTGCCTAGCCGAGATCTCCCCATAATTACTCTTCTTTCCTAGCCTGGATACTCTTTATCTTTTTTCTTGTGGAAGACCTGCATTATTGCATTTACATAGGCTGCTGCACTTTTTATGTGGATAAAATGTAATTATCGAATATTGTACTCTATATCCCGAGAATATTGAGTATTTATCCTATCTCTTTGTTGCGTAACTCACGGGATATATATTCCAATGTCAATTGTTCATGCTTTGCTTGAGCATTTAATTCTATTGCTTGCTTTCTTTTGTACCAAAAGTAAAATTTCTCTCTAGAGCACGCTTACCTTGTGAATTACTCCGCAATTAAATAGAACTTGACAAGCTGTTGTTTGACCAATGGTTTATGGCAAATTTTTATGCCAGTAAAAAGGAAAATTTACTGCACTTTGTAAGATAAACATATGTGAAAACAGAGGTGTTTAATGCCAACAAATAACCACATGAAATTTAAGGCCAGAACTACCCAGTAAACAAGTCCATGCTTCAGCATTTAAAGCTCATGGAAGCAACATCTTTAAACAAACAAGTGACAAGACAATTGGGACTAAAATTCTTGTGCAGCAGTTGGGAATATCATAGTGAGCTGACCTTCAATGAAATTCAGCTGTTCATCTTTGAAAATGGCTGTAGCAATAACTCTGCCTCTTGTGCCGTCTACTTGCCGTCGTCGAAATCTGTCGTCGTCTTTTCAGTCTTGCAGCTCAATGCTGTCAATCCGTCCGTTTAACCATCCGCCTGTTCATTCTACACAGTTTGTAGTGTTTTCAGTTCTTTCCTCTCCATCACAAGGTAACACTATATAACCTTCTAAATAGCCAAACTAGTTTAATTTTTCATACTGAATTCTTAATTTGTTGTTTACAAGCATATTACTTAAGATTTGCTGATATATTATGTCATGAGTACAGTGGACCAGTCTGCTAAGTTTGTGGAAAAGTCTAGAAGAGGAAACTTGGTTCCATTATCGCAGTGCATTTTCTCTGATCAGTTGACACCCGTGCTTGCATATCGATGTTTAGTAAACGAAAATGATCATGAAGCACCCAGCTTCTTGTTTGAGTCTGTGGAGCCAGGGTTACATGCTGTTGTAAGTATCAATGATCATCATTATTTGTTAGCATTACGCTTTCTTGAATTTATGCAAGAAAACTTACAATCTTGATGTCAATTACTTGTAGGGAAGGTATAGTATCGTTGGGGCTAATCCAGCAATGGAAGTTATAGCCATGGAGAATTTTGTTACCGTGATTAATCATCGTGATGGGTGGAGGAGAGAGGAGTTTTTGGAAGATCCGTTGTCAATTCCTCGTAGAATTACAGAGAAATGGACTCCTCAGTGCATTGATGAGCTTCCTCAAGTGTTTTGTGGTATGATAATATTGGCTCAGAGGGGGTGATCCTTTGCTTTACTGGTCAAGGGCCCCATCGAATACCAGTTTCATGCCTTATCTATTATAGCATTCACGCGACTAATGTTCACGTGTTTTAGTACTTGTCTGGTTGACATTGAGTTGTAGCTTCAACCAAATATCTTTTCAATGTTTTTTAGAATTTGATTAGTGAATGGAATGAGAAATGTAAGAAAAAGCCTGATTTTTTTTTGGTGCATCAGGTGGATGGGTTGGATATTTTTCTCAAGATACGGTGCGTTATGCAGAGAAAAGCCTCGCATTTTCAAGTGCCCCAGCAGATGACAGTGATCTCCCTGATGTACATCTAGGTCTGTATGATGATGTGCTTGTGTTTGATCATATTGAAAAGGTATCCTTTTTTTTTTTTTTTTATACCTTCTGTTGCTACCTTAATTCCTGAATATTACATTAATCTTTCAGAGTAGTAATTTCTTTTTAAAGTGTTATCATGATGCATACTGCAATTCATTTCTCTATTTATCAAATAACTCCCACTTGTCATAATATTTTGCCACTATTGTGAATTCAGAAAATTCATGCCATTCACTGGGTTCAATTGGATCGATTTTCATCAGTAGATGAGGCATTGGACAATGGAATGGAATGCTTGGATTCCTTGTTGTCTAAGGTTCATGATATAAACAAGTGAGCAGCCTCTCTCTTTCATTTTGTGTGTTACTCTTCTTGAAATAACCTCATCAGCTCTTTGTTGTGCTCTTTGATCAGTCCAAGGCTATCTTCTGGCTCAATAGAACTAAATGCTCAGAGGCAACATCACAAGTTAGAGGTTTTGCGTCTAACAACTGAAGCATATAAGACAGCAATAAAAAAGGCCAAGGAGCATATTTTAGATGGTGACATACACCAAGTTGTTCTAAGTCAGCAGTTTATAAGGAGAACTTTCTCGGATCCATTGGAAGTTTATAGGGCATTGAGTATTGTGGATCCAAGTTCTTTTATGGCTTATATACAAGTAAGCTTACTCAGAAACTATTCTCTTCAACTTCAGTTACAATCAGTGGCAGTCAATTTCGAATCTTTTGATCAGTAAAATACACTTCAGGCCAGTGATAGCATAAGAGAAAAACTGTAGAGAATCATTTTAAAATCTGTAATTTTTTTTTTCACTACAATAACACTTCATGTAGCTCTCATCTTCATGATTCAACAGATTAGAGGGTGTATTCTTGTTGCTTCAAGCCCTCACATTTTCAACTATGTTGATAAAAAGGTAAAACTGTTACAGTAGTGTATATTTAGCTTCTGGAATAACCTTATTTTCTCAAATCACTGATGGCCTGATATATATTTATTTTTCTGCAGGGAAAGTTTACTAATTCAACTCTTTCTACCATTGAGAGAAAATCTGAGATATTTAAGGAGAATATTCTGTTAGGAAGGCCGCTTATCAATGGCAATAAACATCATGTAGAGAACACCAGGCTTGCTGACTTGGGAAACAACAGTTGCAAAAAGGTTTATCTTTTATATTCTATGGCTTACTCTACTTCATAAAATGAAAATTCAACAAAATAAGGCCTATGTTATGCTGGTTCTACCGCCACAGGCAGCTAATACTTCTGCCTGCCTAAAACTTAGAAATTTCACTACTGATGACAGCTTGATTTTTGAGCAAGTGTAGTCTTCAAATAATTGAACCATTGGTCTTAGGCATTAAAGGGAAGATGTCTCTTCAACTAAGATTTTTGAAGTTCTGTTGCATGACCTTTATATTGGGTTTTCTCTTATGTAGGCTACTGATGTGTATTCGACTTGCTGGGATGCTCTCCGGGGTGCCTTGCCTTCAGATGCTTTCATTGGAGAACCAAAGGTTGATTTCTTTTTTGCAAATATTCTGCAAATCTTTGAACGGCCTTTAGGAATGTTCAATGCTTACCATACCATTTCTGCATTCTTTTGACATGAACCAATTTGGTAAATACAGATTGAAGCAGTTAAACTGATAGATAAGCTTGAACAGAAAAGGCGAGGGCCATATGGTGGAAGTTTTGGCTGCATTTCATTCTCTAAGGACATGGACATCACCCTAGCTTCAAAAACCATTGTGTTTCCGACTGGTAAAGCCTCTGAAAATTTGTATCATTCCAAAAATTTGCAGAAACGACGAGAATGGGTTGCTCATCTCCAAGTCGGAGCTGACATCATGGGAGACAGCGATCCTGCAGACAAGCAGAGACAATGTGAGCAAGAAGCTGCAGCACTCTCTCGAGCCATTGATCTTGCTGAGTCATCATTTCTTCAGTAAGACTAGAAGTTGTCTACCTGTGTTATTATTGTATCACATATATAGCTTCTTAACTTCTTTTACTAACTAGGATATGATTCATATATTTGTGCTGCTGTAACATCAAGAAGTATTCATTGTATTATACTTGTATGATAAAGACAAACATTTGAAAGCAACATCTGATTATTTTGATAGTGATCTTTAACTAAAGTTATCTTGTGAATGTTGTGAACCTGTTACTGTTTCTTTGATTGGTTTGGTGCAACAACACTTGATTCTTGTCTCCTTTAAAAAAAGAGCTAAAACAATGTCTATCACATTTGTATGACAAAGATTAACATTTGAAAGCAACATTTGATTATTTGATAGTGATCTTTAACTAAAGTTTTCTTGTGAATAATGTGAACCTGTTACTGTTTCTTTAATTGGTTTGGTGCAACAATACTTGATTTTTGTCTCCTTTAAAAAAAGAGCTAAAACAATGTCTATCACTAGCATTAATCATTGATTATAACTTTATAAGCTAATCAGTAATCACCAACAAAGCCATATACAACGTAAAATGAAAATCCCATAATGTTTTATACGGGTATTTTTTTTGCCTTTAGCCTTTTTTCCCAACTTTTGTAACTATTTATATGGACCGCGCTTGCATGTCCTTAAATATAATTAATGTCTAATATTTCATTTCCACACGCTTAAAGCATGACTCGGGAAACACTAAATTTATGATTAGCGAATAACAACCTCTATAACTCGAGAAATAATTAGTCGCTTTTCCAGAATGCCCCTTTCAAAGTTCCCAAACAACCCCAAAACTAAATACTCTCAATTCACACTGACGTTACGTATATAATTAGGCCATCCAAAATATTTTCAATACAATGTGTTGTTGTTCTTTTTCTTCTCCATTGTTGCAGAATTGCAGCAATGTCTACTACCAAAGTCTACATTGTGTAAGTTTCTCTCTCCTCAAAAATCTTTCTACTGCATAATTCCTTCTTAATTTTCATGAAAATTTTGTCATCGATTTCAACTCCAATTTCTCAAATTCCTCAGGTTTTACTCTGTATTTGGGCATGTCGAAACTATGGCTAGAGAAGTACACAGAGGAGCTAGCTCAGTTGAAGATGTTGAAGCTTCATTATGGCTGGTATTTTCTTTTCTAATTTCCCTTTTAATTTCTTCCCATTTCAATAATTATATCTTATCTGTAAATTTGACCTTTGATTTTGTGGGAATTTTAAAATTTTAGCATTTAATTTGGGAACCCTAGACCTAACCATATTTTCCCCCTTTTAGTTGGTTATTTTATCAACTATCAAGTATAAATTAATTCTGCAATTTTTATTTCCCTTGGTTGTATGTTGTACATTTAGCTCAATTTCATTCATTGCACTTCATGCTAGTGTAGTTAGCTCAATTCTGTCCGGATGATAGTTATGATCTTTATAATACTTCCGCGTTTCGTGATTAATCAATTAGCCCCACTTGGGTTTTCGGTTGAAATGAATAGAACTCTCATCTATTGCATTATTAGTGTTTTCCCTGTGTTAGTTGATTAAGACATGTATGTCTGGTTGAGAAGAACTGAATTACAAACCCTACATATTCATTATTTTCCCAGAATTGCCTACCTGTAGTTTGTATCTACGAAATTTCCGATTTTTGGGTGATTGGGATTGTACAACATCAATTATTCTCAACCAACATCAGCTAACTGTAATGTTGTTGATTAGTACAAGTATTTCCTTTCATTCCAAATTAAGTAATATTAATGGTTGAAAGACTTGAAACTTTAAACTGATAAGTAATAATGCATCAATATTTTAATGTGCTGATCATATGGATATGGAAGATAAGTTGAACTTGTATTGTGGGTTAAAGGCTTAGGGAGAACTAATAACCCAGCAATTTTTGCAATGTAATGAACTAAAATTTGGCATATTGATGGCTTTCAGCAACATCTTGTATATTTAAATTTTGTTTTGTAGTTGATGCATAGGTTTGTCTGCATAGTGTTTTATTAATTTTAATTTTACTTTTTCTGAACAATCAATTGATCATTATGTAACGTATGTATCAAATTATAGGTTAACTTGAACAATGACTCTATAATTGGATAGATATAGCTATGAATGTTTGATTTTCTTGTCCTAGCTGGGGTGGGAGGATCTTTGGAGGTTATTGGGCAATGTTGATGTCATATCCATTACTAATTAGTTAGTAGCTGTTTGAATAGGTGCCCGAGACACTTCCCCAAAGGATATTGGAAAAGATGAAGGCTCCTCCAAGACCAAGTGATGTTACAGAAATCAAACCAGAAAACCTAGTGGATGCAGATGGGTTTCTTTTTGGATTTCCCTCTCGATTCGGAATGATGCCTTCTCAATTTCTGGCCTTTTTTGATTCCACACATGACTTATGGAAATCTCAATCACTTGCGGGTAAACCTGCTGGCATCTTTTGGAGTACTGGATTCTATGGCGGAGGCCAGGAAAACTCTGCGTAAGTTCCCTATAAACACTATTGTAGCCTTGGGGCATGAGAAAACAATGCATACTTTTGCATGTTAATTTTAACTTTAACATGCTGTTGCCAAAAAAAAAAAACCTTTAACATGAATGATATAGTTGCTATTTTATGATAACTTAGTGGATTGACATATTTGGCTTAAGATGCATTATCTCAATTTGTCAGTCTATTTACTGTGTGAAATTAAAGAGCTATAAAGGCTGCTGACTTGCATTGTTTGAGTTGAGACTTTGGTGGATTATGGAACTTTTTGTATAATGTGCATTTTCCTCTAGAAGAGTAATGCACATCATTACCTTATTGATCTGGTTTGATTATCCTTCTTTGTTAATAACTGCAGCAGACTGGGTTGATTATCCTTCTTTGAGCTAAGTTCTGTTTGGACTATTCCTCTTACAATCTGCTTATACTTTCTTTTGCACTATGATAAATAAGGTATGTATTTCCCATTATTTGGTTTGCAAAATTTTCTCCAAAAATTATGCAAATGTGCTCTACAGAGCTTCAAAATAAAAGCTCCAATAACAAGATTGAGAATTTCTGTCCAATTCACCTTTATTTCATATAAGCTCACAGCTTGTCCAGTATTAACATTAAAATCATCTATAAAATTACCATAATAAGAGCCACATTTCACGTCTTCTATGAGCTACTTGGTATTTTTTTTATCCTCATCTGCTGATGTGCTCATATGATCTGTATGATCGCTAAATGTGCACTTCAATTTGGACCAAATAGAGAAACACCTTGATTTAACCAATCTAGGACTCATATTTGCACCCAAACTTGTCCTGATTTTCTTCTACAAGTCTAAGCTATATCCTTGGTCTTTTGTCCAAAGTATAACAGATTAACAGTTGTGTACTCTACTCTTTTTATAATGTCTAGAACGAAATTGTCATTTTTTTTTTTCTAAAATAGAATTCAGTAATGGTTTCTAATTGACTTTGCAAAAACATCCTCATCAATGTTATATGATGAGGGGTTTGTAAGAATGACCTTGCTATTCTTTGTTTGTCTTGTGCCTGCACTATCAAGTCGCGTGCCTAGCTTCCAAAGAATGAATCTTTGAATACGGTAGAGGAATTATAGAGAAATTATTAAAAAGGTCTTTTAATTAAATTCTGCCTTTGATAATCTGTTCTTGATGGGAGGAGTATTAGTGAATGCCGTAATTATAGTCTGAGGCATGATAGCTAGTTCTTGGTTTGCTAATTATTGGTTACCTTCTTTGCTATAATCCTAGGAAAGAAATCAGGATAGTATGTATACATCCATAACTTTCCTATTTCTGTGTATTTTGATTTGTGTCTAATTTAACAAATTGTGTAATGTCTTCTTGCTTGTAAAAGTTCGCTATTTTTTAAAAATCTATCATTATACAAGAGCATAAGTATTAATTTGCTTGATAGGAGGCATTGACTTGTGGAATTTTGATGTAATTGTAGCTTAATGTGAAATTCCTGTTAGATTAACTAGAATTTTGTGAATTTGTTGCTTGTTCTAACAGATTCACAGCCGTGACTCAACTGTCTCATCATGGCATGCTATATGTTCCTCTGGGATACACCTTTGGGAAGGGCATATTTGAAATGGAAGAGGTGAAGGGAGGCTCTTCATATGGTGCAGGAACATTTGCAGGAGACGGATCTCGTCAACCATCGGAGCTGGAACTTCAGCAAGCATTTTATCAAGGTAAGTATCTTGCCGAGGTTGCAAAGAAGCTCAAAAGTTAAACCCCTGTTTGTGCAACATGCTCATCAATCATCGTAAACGTATATAACATCATAACATACCAAGTGTAAAATTGGAATTTTTTTCCAAATCTGTATTCTGTTGAATTATATTTCTTGAAAATAAAGAATCAAATCTTCATTCTGATGCAGTATTAAAAAAACACTCTATTATTCTATTCTAAGGGCAATGTTGTTTACATCATCTTTTGTCCAATGTGACGGGTAGAAACTCTTGTCCACTCTCCTATGATAAAATGAGACAATCTCAAGTACTACGTATTTTTATTCCAAAACTACATTTGAATTGTCTAGGGATAATGTCCTTTGATATAATCCAAGTATTGATCTAAATTGAATATTGGAAGGCAATTGATCACTCTCCATAAGTACGTATAAGTGTATTTTTATGCTTATGATAGTACGGAATTACAAGCAGTGATCAGAAATTAGAAGCTTTTTTTATTACGAGTAATTGCTTTGTTTGATTGCTTCCTAACTTGACCTATGAGAAGTCCAAGAGAAGTAATGATAGATGAGAGGTCACCATGAATGTTTCTCTGGACTGATAGATGGATTATATGATTTGCTTAGATATAATCATTTAGTAAATTAGAAAAAGAATAATTGGTGATGAAAATATTTGTTAAGATTACATATAACTAGCTGTCAACAGCACATCAAGACTGAATAATGTGGATCACCTAGACAAGATAAGATGATTTTAATAGGTTATGTAGTTGTGTTGCAGAATTAGGTTGTAGTTGTCAACTAAAACTTGAATTTGCCACAAGTTCACAACTCTATCTTGGCTTCACAAAGAGCAAGAAGCCCATAGCTCAGGTGAAGCTAGGCTTCGGTTCCTGTGGGAGTTTCCTGGGTTCGAGGCTCATTACCCCCCCCCCCTTGTGGGTAATACGGTAATACACCCTTGATATTCCTATGATAGGAAATTAAGGAGGGACCCACCCCTTACCCCTAAAAAAAAAGTCCAGCCCTAGCGGCCCACACACCTAGTGGACCAGGCCCGTGCTGGATCAATTATGTGCATTAAACCATAAACCATAGAAATCCAAATAAAAAAATATACATCCAATACATATGATTATACATGATTATACATAAGTCACTCGTAAAATCTACCCTCTTTTTTTAAATGTTCGTATCTAAATCAAACTCATAAATTATTTTATCTTAAAATCTAATTATATACGGCATCTTAAATCAATCAAAATTCTATGGGATTAAATTACGATATGGTATGCTTATGTGACATTCTACATGCATTATATATATGGATCGCATTGATTCTCCCCTTCAACCCAAAGCATTGGTTTCTATTATTCTCCCCGGTAAAAACGAATCCCTAAACAAAAGCCAAAAAACGACGTCGTATGTAATCACGTGACCGACACAACACACCAAAACCTTCTCCTCCTTTCAATAACACCTTCATCAATCTTTCCAACCAAAAAGCAAAAGCCCCTGAAACAACTCTCTCTCTCTCTTCTTTCTCTCTCCTCAATCATCTGAAACTAACCTCGAACAAATCAATCAATGGATACCATATTGAGAGCTTTAGGGTCGGGCCCAAACCCGGAAGACTACATGGGCCTAGAATTCTGGGCCGAGCCAGAACGGGTCGGGTGGCTCAACAAACAAGGCGAGTACATCAAAACCTGGAGACGGCGTTGGTTCGTCCTCAAACAAGGGAAGCTCTTGTGGTTCAAAGAATCAACCGTCACCCGCACCTCTGTTCCACGTGGCGTTATCGAAGTGGGCCGTTGCCTGACCGTGAAAGGTGCCGAGGATACGCTAAATAAACCCTTTTCGTTTGAGATCGCAACCTCGGACGGTTGTACGATGTACTTCATTGCAGATTCTGATAAAGAGAAGGAAGAATGGATTAATTCTATTGGTCGATGTATTGTTCAGCACTCTAGATCTGTCACTGATTCCGAGGTCGTTGACTATGATTCTCGTCGTTAATTTTCTTTCATTATTTGTAAATTTTTTTTTTTTAATTACTCTTACTTTAATAATAATGATATTTTTATTATTGAGTATGCCTTTGGATTGATTGATTGTGGTTTAATTTTGCTTTTTGTTTCTTCTTTATTGATTGAATTTTGGTGTTGAATTAGGGAATTGACAAGTTTGTTAGGGTTTTGGTTTTTGTGTTGGTAATTTGTGCTAGTTTTCAGTTGATCACTAACATGAGGTCAAATCGGCACCAGGAATATCATCTAACCTGTGGCACCGGGACTATTATTTACTCGTAATAGGTTAATACTACCTCCGTTTTATATTATTTGTAACGATTAAACATTTTTCTCTCTATTTTGTTTCAATCGTTTCATAATCAAAACTATGGTAGATTTTTTATTAATAGACTAATAGTATAATTTATAATCTAAATTAGTAACTGACAGAGTAAAAATCAATGTCACACACCACCATGTAAGAGCACTCTCACCAATGGGGAGAAAAATGCCCATGGGTAATTTTTGGGGTTTAATAACAAAAAATAACTCCCCATCAATGGTCTAAATTAAAAATGCCCATGGGCAAATCAATTTTTTATCAAAGTTTGGGCAAAATTAAAAAACTGACCAAGAAGAAGTAGGCCCCACGTGCAAGCCGCATTTAAATTTTTTTTTGCTAAGCATACCTCAAAACGCAGCGTTTTGAGGAAGCATATGCTTTGCTTCACCTCAAAACGCTGCGTTTTGAGGGTAGGAAAAGCAAAAAAAAATGATTTTGGCAGCCCTGACAGGCGCGTCAGCACGCCCAATCAGGCGCTGACACGCGTCCTGTCAGGTGAGTTGGACCTATCAGGAAATTCCTGATAATTGCAACGGTAACAATTTTGTAACGGGTATTTTGTGCTTATAAAATTTAAAAAAAAAAAAAATACCAACGGCTAGAAAAAAAAATTCTCTACAAATAGAGACCCATTTTCCCTATATTTTCATATTTTCAAAATTCACATAAATTTGTTGTATTTACATTTTCTCTCAATTTCTCCCTCATAATTAGTCATCCTTTTAATATTATTATTATTATTATTATTAAAATAAATATTATTATTATTATTAAAATAAATATTATTATTATTATTATTATTGGAAGTATAATTATTATTGTTATTATTTTAGCTTATTAATATTATTATTGTTGTTCGTTATTATTTTTGTTATTAATATTATTATTATTATTATTATTTTTATAATAGTTATTATTATTATTGTTATTATTGTGTTAGTTTTTGAAATTAATAAAAAAAAATTGATATGGATCCCAATAACCCCTTTTACTCTACTTTCTCAAAATTGTAATGATTTTGATGAGAATTTCATGAATCAACCTCAACTTCAACTTTTCCTACAAAGATTGAGCAACACCTCTCTGCAAAATCCTCCACAACAACAAATACCTCCACAACTTGAAATACCTCCACAAATTCCAACTAAAAACACTGATTACGAGCAATCACTTCCTGTCTACCAAGGAAGTAACTCTCAGTACGATGATAGCCAAGAAGAAAATGTGCCTGAGACACCTCAATACCCTCCGTCGACTCAAAGAATGCGGGTGGGTTCCAACCAACAACTCGCTAAAGCTAGTCGTATTTGGTCAGTCGCAGAAGATGAAGCTCTTATTGGGCTATATTTAAAATACAGTGGAAATGCGATAATGGGTACGGGCATGAAAGCTGCTGAACTTTGGCGACAAATATCTGCGGCGTACGACATGGTTCAAGCTAAGAAGCCAGAAATACTACCACCCAGAAATGCGAAGAGTTTGGAGAACCGTTGGAGAAGGATGGCGGCAGATGTACTGTTATGGACAAGTTGTTATGATGAAGCGGGTCCGTTAACTGGAAGTGGATTCAACGAAGTTGATCGAATTCAAAAGGCCTCAAGCTCAAATTCTTCTGATTCAGATCAATATGCGGAATTTGATAATCTAGTTGACGAATTTGTCACAAATCACTTACCTAACATAATGCTTCCTCAACCACCTCCATCCGAGACCGAAATTGTAAATGAAGATGAAACAGTCCCGCAACATAGGGGAGATAGAGAAAGGGAGAAAGGGCATTTGCAATTGTACAATGATTACTTTGCAATAAATCCCGTGTATTCCGAAAATCAGATTCGTCGTCGATTTCGAATGCACAAACCTTTATTCTGTCGGATTATGAATAAAGTGGTTGAGGGCGATCCGTTCTTCCAGCAGCGTAGGAATGCAGCTGGTAGGCTTGGCTTATCACCTCTGCAGAAATGCACCGCTGCAATAAGAATGTTAGCGTATGGTGTTGCTCTGGATGCCGTAGATGAATACATACGCATGGGTCAAACAACATCTAGAAAATCAATGCAACATTTTACTCAAGGGGTGATCAAGCATTTTGAGGCCGAGTACTTAAGAAGTCCAACAGATGAAGATTTAAGGAGAATCCTTCACCAAAATGAAATGCGTGGATTCCCGGGCATGATCGGTAGCATCGACTGCATGCACTGGGAGTGGAAGAACTGTCCTATGGCTTGGAAAGCACAATACGCAGGTCGTAGCAAGAATGCAACCCTTATCCTCGAAGCTGTTGCGGATCAAGATTTATGGATTTGGCATGCATTTTTTGGAATACCCGGCTCTTGTAATGATATGAACGTCCTATACCGCGCTCCGGTGTTTGACGATGTTTTGAAAGGTCGGGCACCACCAATTAGTTTTATGGTAAACGACCATGAGTACAACATGGGATACTACTTAATAGATGGTATATATCCGAACTGGGCAACATTTATACAAGGTATCACATATCCTCAATTAAGGACAAGTTATTTGCAGATAAACAAGCTGCAGCTCGGAAAGACGTTGAACGTGTGTTTGGAGTTCTACAGGCTAGGTTTGCCATATTACGACAACCTTCACTTGCTTTCGACGAAGACATTTTGAGCGACATAATGAAAGCTTGTATCATTATGCACAACATGATTGTCGAGGATGAACGACACAATTACACTCGTGCCGAAGTTTTGAGAAGGTATTACGAAGAAGATCGCCCTCAGCTTCATAGAGAAAGGTCCGGTCCGAGTACAAGTGCCACAGTGAATAACAACGAGCCTTTCGAATTTGACGTTGGCCGACCACCAAACGTTGATTTTGACGCGTATATTCAAAGAAGAATTACCCTGCGTGATAGCCAAACCCATTTTTCTTTGAAAGATGATTTAGTTGAGCATATTTGGCAAAAATACGGTCGTAATGAATAAATAGTTTTGTAATCGTTAATTTATTTGGTTTGTATGATTGGTGTACGATCATTATGTTCCAATGTTGTAATCGTTATTGTTGTACTAATGAAAAATGAAATTTCGCATAAAATAATGACACAAATAATTAATATTGTACTCATAAATAATTTAATCAATAAAAAAATTTAGTTAAGAATAAATATTATTATTTTATTAAAAAATACATTTTGCAAAAATTAATATTAAAAATAATTAATATTGTACTACTCATAAATAATTTAATCAATACAAAATTTTGTTAACAATAAAATTAAAAAATACTAAATTACAAATTTAATGATGTGTAGGAGAGATAAATATTGGTGGGGTATAGGGTTAAAAATAGGAGAGAGAATGGTGGGGATTATAATTTTTGACCATTGGTGTAGAATAAAAATGACCAAGAAAATGCCCATGGGGAGGAGGAGTGAGAAAGTGGTTAGAGAGAGATTGGGTAACCAAAAAAATGCCCATTAGTGGCAATGCTCTAAGGAAAGATTTTCTATATTATCTACTTGAGGGGAGTATATGTATTCATGTGCTTGATTACTAAATACTTTGTATATATATTTACATTTGTCATTAGCTGTAATATTAGATAGAAAATCAACCATACTACATCAAAACTATGGTAGATTTTTGGAGAGAGTAAGCTAACTCATTTTGACCTTGTATTCACATTTTGCCCTTACAATTTCCATAAAATTTTGGGATGCAGTGACATTTCGACACCTTCACATATGACCCTTGTTTGTTTAAGTCTTGGGGAGAGACCGTATTGCTCAAAGGAGTTGACACCATTGTGATATCGTCTGTCTCATTCGAAGCTATGTCTTTGTTTGTAGTATTTGTATGATTTAGCAAAATAGACGAAAAGAGCCAAATCTACGGCACTTATACCAGCAAGCAACCAATAGTAGTAATCAAGGTGTGAGCGATTCAAGTTATCAGTAATCCAACCCTTTCTCCCACCTATTTTGGTTGCTTTGGTGACGAACGATACAATGAGGCTACACAAAAAGTATCCTAAACCTTGTATACTTGAAGTGATAGCCAGTCCAACGCTGTGCAATTCATTAGGGACCTGGTCATAGAAAAATTCTTGAAGGCCAACCAAGGCAAATAAAACTGTGAATCCGAACAACACATATTGCGGAAGCAACCACCAAACACTCATTGGTATGGTTGCTGTTGGCGAATCAAGCAGTCCATGTCGCGAAGCAAGCTCTAGCCTTTTTCTCTCTACTATCGCGCTAACTCCCATTGTAAGAATTGTTATGGACAACCCGATTCCAATTCTTTGAAGCATTGTTATTCCATTAGGTTTTCCGGTTAGTCTTCTGACTACTGGCACGAACACATAGTCATAAATAGGTACTGTGATAAGCATAGTGATGTTCATGAGACCCTGTAAGGATGCTGATGGTACCTGTAACTTGGATCCAATCATTCTATCCATTGTATCGCCTTGTTTGATGAAAAAAGTCCCACTCTGAGCATACACAATGGCTAGCACAAAACTCATTGCCCATATGGGAAATAGCCTAAGGACTGCCTTCGCCTCTTCTACTTCCTCTTCGCTGCAACCTCCATCCACATCATCTTCACGTACAATTAAGGCTTTATCGAGGCATCTCAGCTGTCTACGAGTGGGTCGTTGCTCAGAAAAAGGATGATCAAGATTTCGGTTTCTTGCTGCTTTTGCATATACCCTTCCAATCCTTCTGAATGGATTTTTGGTTTCAACTTTTAGAGGAAACCGATAAGTCATAGTTCCCAGCAAGAACAAGCCCGTGCCAAAGACCATGATAATGCAAGGGATTCCGAATCCTAGGCCCCAACTGAGATTGTCCTCGACATAGCTCAGTATTACTAGACCTAGCAAAGCACCAATAGAAACACCGAAGTTCCACCAGTTAAAGAAAGAGCTTTTGGCTTCGCTCTCTTGAGGATCGTTTCCATCAAACTGATCTGCTCCGAAAGCCTGTATACAAGGATTCTGCCCGCCTCTGCCAAGAGCAAACAGATACAGGGCAGCAAAGAACATTATTTTCTGCAACAATTCATGATTGCCACCCTTCATAAGGGTAGGTAACGCCGTTGACAAAGTTATCAAGCCAAGCCCCTGGTAAGCCATCCCAATTGAAATGAACATAAAAACATACAAGTACATAATTAGCAACTTTATGTGCATTTGTATCATAGTACAAACTTGACAATAAAACATCAAACCACCCTGCCCTCGATTACATCTAGGACTATGTATAATATATGAATTGAAGTGATACTTACTATGATATAAATGATGGAAGAAACAACAATGGTTAAGTATCTGCCCATACAAGTATCAGCAACTATAGCACCCGCGATAGGAAGGATAAAACCAACCCCTTTCCAAGCATTGATATTCGTAGCTGCCATTGCCGTAGACTCTCCTAACTTATCCGTCAAAAAAACCATCAAGTTTCCTGAGATTCCAGAAAAAGCAACACTCTCCGCTACCTCTGACCCTTTAAACAATAAAAATCGCGCTTATTAAGTTACACATATATTCAAAAACAAGAAAAAGGCTGGTTAAAATTAAACTACATACAGATGAGAAACCAGGCTGATATCCAACTTCCATGCCTTGATCTTACAGCAGGACGATGCCTATAGTTGACGTAGCCAGGCACGGTGTTTACCGTGCTGTATCGTTGTTGTTCTTCCATTAGAATTATAAGTGCAAGTTTATGAGTATAGGAAGAACACTGTTATTGTGAATTAAACACAACTATAACAATAATGTTGTTAAGATGTGATCAGAATTGTAAATGTAGGTGATTATTTCTTGTGCACAATTTTCATAAGGACAAACCGTTAGTTACGGAGAATGGAAAAACATGCACAAAGAGATTTATGAAGTTGTCAACTTCACTTTAATAATTCACTTCCACTCATATAACATTTCTCGCTTGCTATATTTAGGAAGTGCTTGCTACTTGTGATCAATACTAGGTTTATGAGCCTTACAATTTTACAAGAAATCAGGGTTTAAAATCGGTATATTTTTTCTCTTCTTGTTTTCACATAAATAAAACCTAATAAAGCCTCCTATACGGCTATACGCCTATACCAAAAAGGTTTTATTATTCTCATAATTGTGCTAATAATGAAAAAAAAAAAAAAAACTCTATTGACATTTGTCTCTTAAAATCACCTAAAGATAAATTCAATAATAATTTGTTAGGAGTTTTTCTGCGAATAATTATCCTTGAAAAAAATTGCCAAAATGTTTACCATGCTCCCTAATACCCCCCGGGAGTCCAATTGGGTGGGTGAAACCATCCAATTTGCCTTAAAGCAACGAATTTACCGGTTTACAACTTGCACCGATTTCATTAAGTCAAGCCTACCACGAACATTTATGACAATATTTAATGATCACATATAGTTCCAAACGGCATTATATGATCTCAAGATTTATCCCCTAAAATCTCAAGGATTTTAGACACCAGGCCCCCGAAGACTCCAAAATATCTCAAAAACCGTGGATAATTAGCTTTTAATTTTGGAATTTTTTCACTTTTTTCGCCCGAAAATAAAAATTGCCGAAATTTTTACCATGGTCCCTAATACCCTTTGGGATTCCAATTGGGTAGGTAGAACCATCCAACTTGCCTTTAAATGGCGAAATTACCGGTTTATAACTTGCACCGATTTCATTAACTTAAGCGTATAACGACATTTATGACAACAAATAAAGATCATATATGGTTCAAAACGACATTATATGACCCCGAAATGTATTCCATAAAATTTTAAAACTTTTCGACACCGGGGTCCGAAACGTCCAAAATTTCTCAAAAAGCGGGAATATTAGACTTTAATTTTAGAAAATTTTAACTTTTTTTTGCCCGAAAATAAAAATTGTCGAAATGTTTACCATGGTCCCTAATATCCTTTGGGAGTCCAATTGGTTGGGTGGAACCATCCAATTTGCCTTTAAACGACCAATTTACCGGTTAAATACTTGCACCGATTTCATTAAATCAAGCCTACCACGAACATTTATGACAACATATAATGATCATATGGTTCCAAACGGAATTATATCACCCCGAGATGTATTCCTTAAATTTTCAAGGCTTTTCGACACCGGGCCTCGAAACCTCCAAAATTTTATCAATAAGCGTGGATAATTAGCCTTCAATTTTGGAATTTTTTGACTTTTTCATCGCCCAAAAATAAAAATTGCTGAAATGTTTACCATGGTCCCTAATACCCTCCGGGAGTCCAATTGGTTAGGTGAAACCATCCAATTTGCCTTTAAACGACCAATTTATTAGCTTACAACATGCACCGATGTCATTAACTGAAGCCTACCACGAACATTTATGCCAACATATAATGATTATATATTGTTCCAAACGACTTTATATGACTCAGAGATTTATTCCCTAAAATCTCAAGGCTTTTCGACACCGTGCCCCGAAACCTCCAAAATTTCTCAAAAAGCGTGGATATAAGTCTTCAATTTTGGAATTTTGTGACTTTTTCACCCGGAAATAAAAAATACCGAAATTTTTACCATGGTCCCTAATACATTCCGGGAGTCCAATTGGGTGGGTATATCCATCTAATTTGCCTTTAATCGACCAATTTACTGATTTACAATCTGCACTGTTTTTTATTAAATCAAGCCTACTACGAACATTTATGACAACATATAATCATCATAAATGGTTCCAAACGACATTTTATGACCCCGAGATGTATCCCCTAAAATTTCAAAACTTTTCGATACCGGGTCTCGAAACCTCAAATATTTCTCAAAAAGCGTGAATCTTAGCCTTTAATTTTGGAATTTTTTGACTTTTTATCGCCTGAAAATAAAAATTGCCGAAATGTTTATGATGGTCCCTAATATCCTCCGGGAGTCCAATTGGGTGGGTGAATCCATCCAATTTGCCTTTAAACGGCAACTTTACCGATTTACA